AGCATTGTGTCAGGATTAAATGAATATGAGAATCCTGTTCCAAACTTCTAAAATCCGGGTATATCACATAATCTATTAGTTCTCAATTCTTTCGAGACTAATATTGAAAAAGACAAAGCCTAGGCCAATTCTTGTCACAACCCCACCAGCTACTCATTTATCTCTTAACAGATAAGCGTTTCAATAACACTTGGGGCACGCAGCTCACATTCTATCAATTTCTCATTCGGAGAAAGTTGATATTGAAACAGAAGGATATATGTCCTCCCTTCAAGTCTTTTTGATCACTAATTGCGTCTGATAAATTTGTGTAGTCCACACGGTTTATCTTTTTGAGCCTAAACAGAAGCATTAGTTGCTTTATCTTTTTACACTACACAAATTTTGCAAATTATATGTTATTTTGCCGAAACATTCATAGATTTGTTATTATTAAGCTATCGATGATTGAATGGAAAACCTGGTGAGATGAGCCTCATAAAGTCTCATATATACAGTACATCCGTTGTACTGAGTATATCTGTTATACTCACAGGTCAATCTTTTTATAAGATTGAAAACAATTTCATACGTTGAAATTGGTTGTTACCTTCCCATTCCCTTAATCTGAAAAGATTAAACAAGTGGATTTGAAAAGATCTACTTACAATTTCATGAATTGGCGGCTTTCGCGGAAAATTTCATTCATTCTTGTGTATGATGTAATGATTCTCATTTCATCATAAGGGGGAGTATATAATAATGAATGAAATGTTCAATTCCGAACATTATAAGGGGAATTTGTTATAAAGATCAAGGGGGAGTAACATCAAAATTGGCAAAAGACTTAAAAAGGTGAATTTGTTATAAAGATCAAGGGGGAGTAACATCAAAATTGGCAAAAGACTCAAAAGGAGTGCGACTGGAGATTATTACTGAAGATTATTCCGATGCTACAATGTCTGAGAGTTGTTGAATGTGAAGATCAATTTTACAACAGTTTGCTAATAAAGATTGCCTTTGAAGAGAAAGTGTGTTAAAGATCAATTCTGAAGATCGTTATTGTTTATGTTCTACAATGTCAAAAGAGAGGATCATCGCGGTTCTACATTCGAGGGGAGAATGTTAGAAGATCTTTCTCAACAAACGATTGTTTGAGGATTTCGAGTTGGAGATTGTTTTGAAGAAGACATAGAGTGCTTAAAGCAACAAAGTTCAAACGAGACTCAAAGCGCGCAAATTCTTTCAAGTCTGAATACAAAGGGAGAGAATGTTAGGACTGAAATTCAGTGTAAAGTTGTATTCGTCTTGAAAGTTAATTTTGTCTATAATTGTATAAAAGTCATCGTGTTTGACTTTTCTTTAGATTGTTTGACATTGACTTTGTTTACATGTTTGACCCTATATAAAGGGTAAATCTTTGTAATTTGTGTAGGATTCTTTCATTGTTAAATCTGATTACGTAAATAAGAGTTTGACCATATTGTGAGATTTGATTTTCTCTCTCAAACTTCATCTTGAATGTTCTTAATGTTCATACTTGAATCTGCCATAGATAAGTATTATCTTGAAAATTGATTATCAGGGATCTACACAAACTTTAAACTGGGTGATAAATTTTAAAACACAATCAATTATGCAATTACAAAAAGATTCAAAAGCAATTTAACCACTCACCTTGAATTCCTTTTGGAAACCAACTTGATCTTTAGTCAAGAAATAATCCGGTCACCTTTTCCCTTCTCTTTAAATCGCTCACAACTTTTCCAAATAACAAGAAGAAGAAAATGGAGGCTAAGCCCTCCTTTTATACTTTCCTTTTCAGGAAAGTCGGCTACAATGGCCTTTCACTTCCTCCGCACTTGCATGCACACACACGTCATGCATGTACATTCATATATATATATATATATATATATATATATGCACTCACATCATTCACGCATATTCACATTCATACATACATACTAACTTCATGCATACTAACATATTTTTAGTTATGCATTTTCACATTATGCATATAATACCCATGCATAAAATATACATACTTCACGTTTTTAACCCATGTAAGCATGTATTCATATAAACAATTAATTCACATAATAAATACCTTAAGTAATAATCAGGACTCGGTTATCACAGTTCATTTACCGTTCGTTTACGTTCGTTTATATCCGTTTGTTTATGTTCGTTTATGTTTGTTTATGTATTTTTGTTTATGCATTACAATTAATATATAATCTTTTGTTTATTTACTTTGAATTCAAATAATATTTGTTTATGTTCATTTAGCTCGTTCGTTTATGTTCATTTAGCCCGTTCGTTTATGTTCGTTCCTTTACGTTCGTTTATCATGTTAACGAACGAACATAAACGAACACGAACACACTTGATTTCTAAACGAACGAACACGAGCATAAATATTTTCGTTCGTTTACCGTTTGTGTTTGTTTGTTTGTTCGGTTAAGCTAAATGAATGAACATTGAACAAGCCTTCGTTCGTGTTCGTTTGGTTCATTTACAACCCTGGTTGTAACTGACTCTAAACTCAAAGGATTCTCCTTTGTTGGATCATTCTGGATATCAAAGATTAATTGGGAGGTTGATTTATCTACTTGCAACTAGACCTAATATAACATTTGTTCATTGCCTTAGCCAGTTTATGCATGCCCCAAGACAGTCACATCTAAATCTTGCTCTTAGAGTTCTCAGGTACCTCAAACTCTCTCTAGGAAAAGGAGTTAGCTTTACAAGGTCATAAACTTTTAGTTTAAATGATTTTGTAGATGCTGATTAGGGTAAGTGTCTCTCTACTAGACGCTCGGTTACTGGTTTCTGTTTGTTCCTTGGAAATTCAATGATTTCATGGAAGAGCAAGAAACAAATATTGTTTCTCACTCATCTACCGAATCTGAATATAGGGTTTTAACTTCTATTACATGTGAAATTGTCCGGGTTCTTAAAATACTGGATGATCTTGAAATAAAAAATCTTCTTGTTAATCTGTTTTGTGATAATAAATCTGTTATCCAAATTGCTAATAATCCAGTTTTTCACAAACATACCAAACACATTGAAATTGATATTCATTATGTTCAAGAAAAAAATAATAAAGAAGTTTTAAAGGTTGTGAAAAAACATTCTTCTGAGCAATCTGCTGATATTTAACAAAAGCCCTTGGAATTAATCATCACAATTATTTGTGTTCAAATTTAAAAATGATTGATTTGTTTAATCGTCAGGATTAAGGGTGGGTGTTAAAATATGTATCTTTCTAATCTTAACTAACTTAGCTTCTTTGTACTTATTTTGACAGAGAATTAACAGGTTGGGATAGTAAGTGTCCAGTTTGAAAAGTCTTGCTGTTCAAATAGAAGAGGGACTGCGCCTCACTTCTTGGAATAATCAGAGGGTAGCGAAGTCAAATCTAAAGTTCTTCAAGGACCAAAGTTGCAATTCCTAAAAGATATATAAATCGTGTTTTTGGAAGATCTGGTTCATAATTCACTCATTTTATTTTCAAGAGCTCTCATCTTTAGCTCTCTTCATCTCTCTTGCTATCTATTTCTCTTTCTAAACTTTTCTTCATATACAACATTATGTTGTTCTTATGAAGTTTAGATCTAGTTAGTATAGATAGATTTGTAATCTGTATACTTGTTTTCTTTGTTTGTATGGTTGAAATGAAAATGTTTTCAAATATCTTTAGTTTTAACAAACATAATTCCATTGATGGTATCTAAAGCAGATAGAAGGTCAAAAGACCTTGTCCATAATTTCCTGTTCCATTTAATTAATATGTATACTAATTTTCCTACAATCCCCCACATGAATGAAAATTATTATAGACATCTCAGAAATCATGATACTCAAGTTCAATGTTAGAATCCTGCAAATGGTAGGTAGGTGTTAGCTAGGGGTCTTCAAAAAATAAAAATCCAAAACCCAAATATAGATGCCAAAAGATAAGTGTAAGAGACAACAAATCGAACCACTCGTTGGTGATAGAGAAAAGACCTAGAGAAAATACATAATATTGTTCACAAATCGAATCAGTTATGGTGACAATAATATTTGGCTTTGGTCACTCTGAAGTATTTATGGAGATGGGAAAGGAACAGGAACATAAAAAGGAAAAGGTGAAAAAAGGCGAGAGTGTTTGCAATTGCGAGCAGTCTCAAGTAGCCAAAGGGTTTGCATAGAGCTTTGCCGAGGGTTTGTTGGGTGGGTGCGGAAGGGTTTGAAGGTGAAGAGTATCAAAGGCTTTGTAGTGAGGGCCACCAAAGGATTTTCTTAGTTCAGGGGGAAAACATTTTGATGGGGGATGGAAATACATATATATTAATAAGTATTAAATATAATATAATACTAAATGAATGAAAAATGTAAAAAAAAATAGAATGACCAAAAAGCCCTAGACTTAACAGATTTTCTTAACAAAAGTTAGTTGAAGGGACTAAAAACGCAACAAAACGACAACCACAATGATTAAAAATATAGTCAATTTAAAATAAAATCAGACTTGATAGTAAGTATCAACCACAAGGAATAAAAATGTAATTTACTAAACATACAAAGTATTTGCCACAAGTACGTCTCAGTATAGAAGTTGGTTAACTTTTTACAAGTACCGTCTTTGAAATAGTTCAAGAAAGACCTTTCAGAAAAAAAAATAGTTCAAGAAAGGGTGAGAATCATTAAGAGCATCTCCGGTGGTAAAAACTAAAGACTTGATTAAAAAGGTTATGAACCAATTAATTAAAAGGTTAACTATTGGAGCAATAACTTGAAAAATGACTTGACATTCAAAAGTTCGAGGTATGTTAATCGTTCAAAGATTTATATATGTATTAAAAATAAATTAAAAATATAAAAAACACTTTTAAAAGAGTTGATGGTTTTTGTTTAGTGAAAATGTGAGGTGAAATGGATAAATACTTCGAACCATCGCCAATGCTGTAACATGGATGATTATTAACCGATGTAAACGGTATTAACGGCTTTATTTCTCTAAAAAGATGTGTAGTTGCCGTTTCCTCTATTCCACTTTCTTGTAGAAACCACCATACAAATCTCTCTCAAATGAAAACCACCCAAACCGCTGCATCTGTTTACCCTTCATCTGAAATCTAGGGTTCATCATATTTTCCCCTGAATCAAAGAATCTCGCAACTCCAAAAACCTAATTCATTTCTTTCACAACTTTAAACATCTTTGATTCAATCGAGCGTCGAAAATGGACGCTGACTCTTGGATCGCTCGTCTGTCTTCAACATCAAGGCGTTATCAACATGCTCTTCAATCACGATCATCTGGTAAAACCTTTATTCTTTTAACCCCTCATTATATGCTTTTATGTATTTCGATTCACGCATGTTAGCCCTAAAATTAACTGAAATCAAAATAATTTGATGCAGACACGTTCATGGGGTTCGAGGACATTGAGGTGGATGATGATATCAGGGAGGAAATTCAATGCTCGTTTTGCGGCGGTTATTTTGATATAACATGTTTGTGTTGTCATATCAGCGAGGAACATCCTGTGGAGGCAAAGAATGGGGTATGCATAATCAAAGAGTTTATCTTAGTTAATGGTTTGAGATGTTTTTTTTTGCAAACATATGATTATGTTATGGATGGCTGGTATGCTGGGATTTTAAAGCCAAAGAAAAAACAAACACGAGTCCCCAAAATCTAGGTCAAAATGTGTGCAAAACACCCAACAACCAAAATGGGGAAACAATTCGGATCAACAAACAATACATGATGTGTCACGACAAAATAAACAAGTAATCAACATAAAACAACCACAACACAAAGATATAACAAGGTTCTACAGTCTTACAACCGCTTACGTCCTCCCGACCCCTAGATGATGTATAATAATATTACTTCAAAGGTGTAGATAGGTTACAAGAAAGCTTACCCAAACGATTACACTTGACAAATGCAAGCTAGAATCACCTATTTTCTTGGATTTGGTGAGGAGATATCACCCAAAGTGTATTTGCTTCACCCTAAATGATCTCACACACTCAAATGAGCGCTAAACCCAAGTTTATCCCGTCCACACCCCGAACGAGACCTCAGCCGTGAACCAACTAGCTTCTAAGGTGGCCCACACCCATACAAAGACCGTTTCTGGTCTGTGTGTTTGTTGGTGTCACCCAAAAATATTCAACATGGTATCTAAGTTAGCTTTGCGGTTAATGATTGAGATCTACGAATCTTGTATGTAAATATTTTGTTAAGAGGATTAGTGTGTTGATAGATCATGTTATTGTTTAATTGTTTATCGTATTTTTGTACACATGGATAGTGGTAGTGTGGGGTCAGTAGTGATGGAGGAGGTAGTTGTGGCTGATGTGGTGGTAGTAATTGTTAGCCGACGATGGTGGTAATTGTTAGCCGACGATGGTGGTAATTGTTACCCGACGATGGTGGTGGACAATGGTGACTGTGGAGGATGTAAAACTGGAGGAAAAGAGGTGGGATGGAGGTTACAACTACAGTGGTGGTGGAGATAGAGTCGATGGTGGCTGGTGGACGATGGTGACTGTGGAGGATGTGAAGATGGTCGACAGTGGTGGTGGCGACACAATGGTGGATGAGTTAGTTGTGGCCAACGTGTTGAAGGTTGATGTGGTAGTGGTGGCTGATGGAGGTTATGGTGGAGTTGGTCGACGGTGGTTGTGGAGGTGGTGGAGGAGGTTTGTAGTAGTGGAGGTGGCCAACATTGGTCGATGGTGGCTGCCGGTGGTGGTGGCGGCAATGACGATGGACAACAGTGACCATTAAAATAAAGAACACTTTAAGGTTATATCAGATGAGGGTATATTAGTGATTTTTTAGTTTCTGTTTCATTTTTGTCCCAAATCGGTGGAACAAAATAAAGTCTTTTTTGTCCCACCTTGTCCCATCCCGTCCTTGATTCCTTGTCCCTATCCCATGTTGCGCCAAATGTGGGACAATGAATTTTGTCCTATCCCGTCCTATTCCATGTACCAAACGCAACCTAATAGATCGTGTATCACTATTCTGCCTTGTATTTACTTCTTGTTGTGCATGTGTTACTTGAACAATTAGAACTTGACCTGATTTTAAATGCAGGTGATAAATTGTTGACAATTGGTGAGGATCGTTTTAAGGTGTTAGTCAAAGTGTTTATAAAATAGTTTATTAAACTAAGATATCAATCTTCTTATTGTTGCATATTACATTACCTATTGTGCTTACTTTGTAGAAGTTAAATTGTCTTTTAGATTACATCTATTGTGTTTTAAGCCCTTTATAATTGCATATATTGTGTGTTTTAATTCCCCTGTACTTACATATATCGTGGGGTTTTTCTTGGTCAACTATAGTTTTATCAATTTATTACCTTTTGCTTTTTCTCGATTACCTCTAGTTTTATTAGTTTGTTAAGTGTTATTGTTATTTTTAATTGCCTAGTTGTTTACGTTAATTATGTTGATCTATTTATACTTATCCGCTTGCTTATGTTTATGGTTCACCGAAGATTGTGGAGTTGATGATAGCTTGAGGTCATGTCTAGTTACGGAAGATCGGGGAGGGATGAGAGGGGCTAGGGGGAGGGCTAGGAAGGTGCTGCTGGACTTTAAGGTGAGAATAGGTACCTGGAATGTAGGAATTTTGGGTGGCAAGCTTTTAGAGTTGGTAGATGTGCTAAGAAAGAGAAAATTTGATGTCATTTGTATAAAAGAAACTAAGTGGAAGGTAGGCATGGTAATGGCGCGGAGACCCTAATCCTCGTCCCCGTACCCAATCCCCCATCTTTGTCCCTGTCCCCATCCCCGCCGGGGAATTTGATCACATCCCCATCCCCGTCCCCAACAGGGAAAGGGGATCCCCAACGGGGAACCAGGATTTTTTTCTGTTCTTGTAAGTTTTTTTTTTTAAATCAAATGTGTGAGACACCACACATGTTCAAATCTCACATTTTTCCGATAAACCTAAAATCAAAAGGAATTTAATTTAATACAAAAAATATACATCATCATATAATAATTAATAAATCAAAAACCAAAAGAAGTTGAATTTAATCTAAAAAAAATTAATGTCACATGAACCAAAACGTATCGAAAATAAAATCCAAAACCACATCTAGTGATATCCAAATATATTGAAATAGAATTAACATTTACCAATTTAATAGAAATAAATAATATATAATATGATTTATTAATTAATATATATACGGGTACGGGGCAACGCGCGAAGTGCGATACCCATCCCTCCCGTCCCCATCCCTGGTTTGAGCCAAAAGGATCCCCGTCCCCGACCGGGGCGAGTGGATTGGTTCCTCGACGGGTCGGAGCCAATTCCCATGCCTAGTGGAAGGGGATGTGGACTAGGGAAGGGAATGTAATGGGTGCAAGCTATGATATTCAAGACTAGGAAACTCAAGAAATGATGCGGGGAATATGTTGACTTTGGAGCTTCAGAAGAACGTAGTGGAGATGCAGTGGTGTATTGATAGGATCATACCGCTATGAGTAATGATAGGGAGCTTGGGGCAGAGTTGGTTAACTTTGTTCGTGCTTATGTGCCGTAGATGGGGCTGGGGGAATCGGAAAAGTCAAGTTTTTGGGAAGGATTAGATGAGTTGCTGAGAGGCATGCTGTCGACCAGCACTTATATATATGCGGTGACTTCAACCAACACATCAGGGAAGGGGCAAATGAGTATTTAGGTACCTACGGGGGCTTTGGTTTTGGCGCTTGGAATGACGAGGGTCTTTCACTTTTAGAGTTCACGATAACACACGATATGGTGATAGCAAAGTCATGTCTTAGGAAGCGAGATGAGCATCTATTTACCTATAGGAGCAGGAGTATTTGCATAGACGGGATTTCAGGGAATGTCGTTTTGCGCGTCTCAACATCGTTTGTTGGCTATGGATCTTTTGTCTGAGGCAGATTGAGAAAGTGAGGGAGCGATCAAGGTAGATGAGACCAAGAATCCTCTAAAAAAAACCCAAGGGGCCTGGCAAAGGAATTTTTCAACGAAAAGGTCGCCTTAGAAATTGAGAATGGGCAATTGGAGGATGCCAACTACATATAGATAGGATGGCCCATACCATTAGAACCATGATGGTGGAGCATTGAGGTTCAAACGAAGGTTCATGCTAAACTTTAGTGTTTTAAGGATCTTTTAGCATGTAGGGGAAGCCGAGGAGAGGAGTAAGGTGAGGAGCTTGTATAAAAAAGCTAGATGAGAGGCCAAAAAGGCAGTGGCTAAGACAAAGGATAATGCTTATTAAGATTTGTATAGGCATTTGGATACCAAAGGAGGGGGAGATAGGTATTTACAAACTGGCAAAGGCTAGGGAGCAGAGGCATCGAGACATAGGAACTGTAAGGTATATTAAGGATGAGAACGGGGGCATTTAAGTGAAAGACAAGGACATCAAGGAGAGACGGGGTAAATACTTTAATGGGTTGTTTAAGGAGTATAGGGAGAGGGAGGGGGCAAGGAGAGTGTTCTAGGTTTGCAATTGACTTGCAACTGTAGTTTCCGCAGTCATATTACCGGTGGGAGGGGAAGTAAGGGATGCCTCCATTGAGATATGGTAGGTTTTGGGGGAGATGGGCGTGCATTAGCCAACAAAAAACTGTCATTTTTCAAAACAACCAAAATACCTTCAGGGTGGAGACTTTTAGTGTGGTAGTGCCGCTATATAAGGACATAGGAGATGCTCAGAGTTGCTGTATTGTAGAGGTATTAAGCTATTGAGTCATAACATGAAAATTTAGGTGAGAATGATTGAGGTTAGGGTTCGTTGCAAGACACATGTTACGGAAAATCAATTCGGGTTCATGCCAGTGAGGTCTACAACTAACGCAGTCCATCTTATACCTGTTTTGTTACAATGGTAAAATCATGGTTAAGACCGTCATTTGAAATAGTGGTTATCACGATGGTAAAGCGGTGGTATATTGGTCCAGAAATAGCGGTTCATATAGTAACTAGAATTATATATATGCATAACTTAACATATTATATATATTCAATAAATATATAATTTCAACACCAAAACATAAACTTAAACAAGGCAAGTTTCACATAAACAAATCGCTAAATCATTCACCGATGAAGTCTTGATATTGTTGGACTAAAATAAAACCAAAGCAAGGTTCAAACTCTAAAATAAAAGCCCACAAGATGGTTGTTGCTCAACATCAAAACAACCAATTTACATATAGCGTTTATGCGGTCATCTAGTGGTCAACAGCGCCGCTAACCATGGGACCGCTATTTGCCCCAGAACGCTAACTGTTATAGTGGCGCGATGAGCAACATAGTCTTAGTCAACTGATGGAGAAGTATAAAGAGCAGAGTAGAGACCTACATATGGTGTTCATAGATATAAAGAAAGCCTACGATAGTGTTCCACGTTGCAGGAATTGGAGGAGCTTGGAGGCTAGAGAGGTTTCGTGGATGTGGGCAATTCAAGATATGTACGTTAACGTGAACGGGGACTGGATTGATGATAAAATAGAATCCTGGGTTGCAAACAGTGATTCAATTGATGATGAAAGAAGATAATTCTTCGTTCAGTTCTCCACCTTAACGACAGAAAAAGGGATTGATCAAATTTTATTGAGTCTGACTTATAGTGATCATTTATCAAAGAATGACTCTGGTTATCAAATGATTGAACAACCGGGAGCAATTTACTTACAATACTTAGTTGACATTCATAAAAAGTATCTAATAAATTATGAGTTCAATACATCCTCTTTAGCAGAAAAACGGATATTCCTTGCTCATTATCAGACAATCACTTATTCACAAACTTCGTGTGGGGCTAATAGTTTTCATTTCCCATCTCATGGAAAACCCTTTTCGCTCCGCTTAGCCTTATCCCTCTCTAGGGGTATTTTAGTGATAGGTTCTATAGGAACTGGACGATCTTATTTGGTCAAATACCTAGCAAAAAAAGAGCACTTGTGCTAGGACCTAGTAGGTGAGGCTTTTGTCTAGTAGAATTAAATTTGCATTAGGGGTCTGCAGTAAGCCCGTTCCTCTTTGTCATGATTTCGGATGAGATTACACTAGATATTCAGGATAGTATTCCCCAATGTATGTTATTTACTGACGACATTGCATTCATAACAGAGTCTAAGAGTGAGGTGAATGGTAAGTTAGAGCAGTGGAGGGGAGCTTCAGAATCATCAGGTTTGCACATTAGGCTGTCTAAGACTGAACACCTATGGTGTAGCTTCAACAAGGAACGCATTGATGAGGGTATGAAAGTAAGCTTTGGGGAGCATAGGGTAACCCAATAGTTTGAATTATCTAGGCTCATTGATTCAGAGGGAGGGTGCGAGTGCAGAAGACGTACTGCATGCATATCACATAAATGCGGGATAGCTAAAGTGGAGAGCGGCTACTGGTGTGTCTAGGCCTTCACAGGGGTTGGGTTGGCCGGGTTGAAGGCATTTGAACTACCTAACCCAATGTTTTACGGTTTGAAAAATCTCAATCCAACCCAACCAACCCAAACAAAAGTGCAACCCAACCCAACTCAAACCGTGCGGGTTGGGTTGGTCGGGTTGAGACTTTTATACATCATTTCACAATCCAAGTGACTGTGTTTCTTACTCGTCTTTCTAATAGTCTTACCTACATGTTTAATTTTCTATGTACATTCATTTTCTTCTTGCTTTGCATGTCTTACCCGATTACCCTGTCTACCTGTGCACTATTGAACCATTGTTCTACCTGTTATATTTTCCGATTAAGGGGCTGTTTGGTTGGTTTTTCATCAAGTCCTGTATGGATAAAGCTGACTGTATGGATTAATCTATCTGTCTCAATATCTTGTTGTTTGTTTGTTGTGCTGAATAAACGGTCTGAATGTCAGAAATGCTATTTTACCCCTCATTGTATATTAAGCACATATTAACATAACAGTTTGATAAATAAGCTGAATGGTTTATTCTAAACGATGACACTATCAAGTTAAACAGTTTTTAGGATGAAAAAACTTTATCATACATCTTTTGAGCCTCACCACTACGCCAAATAAACCAATATTTGCACACAACTTGAGCAATGGAACCAATAATACATATAGGTGAAGACGTGAAGTTGAACCAATTGAATCAAATAATTTCAAAGGCAAAGAGAGATCAACTACCCAAAACCAAAAAAGTAAAAACCAAAATCAATTTTATCATCAATGATCAATCCAAGAGAACCAATAAGAAAAGGGTCGTTGATGTGTTGTTGTTAATGGAGGAACAAAAGCAGAGCAAGAGAACCAATATGCAACTCCCTCGCTTTCTTTCTTCGCCCATCCACACTTGCTAACCTTTTATTTCTCCACCCATTCACAAATTAGATGAAAAACCTTATAACACTATCAATTTAAACAGTTTTTAGGATGAAAAAACTTTATCAAACATCTCTTCGACCTCACCACTACGCCAAATAAACCAATATTTGCACACAACTTGAGCAATGGAACCAATAATACATATAGGTGAAGACGTGAAGTTGAACCAATTGAATCAAGTAATTTCAATACCCAAAACCAAAAAACTAAAAAGCAAAATCAATTTTATCAAACATCTCTTGGACCTCACCACTACGCCAAATAATCCAATATTTGCACACATCTCTTGAAGCAAGTTTACTTTACGATGGAATGAAGGAACGCATATCTGAAATCGCCAGCGAGGAGCAGCTTTGTAATCGCCGGCCGGAGCAGCTCCGATTGCAAGAGGAAGCTGGTGAGGGTTCTCAGGAACAGATCGTTTCTTAGCGAAGCAAAGCTGTCGTTTCTTTTTGAGAGAATTTAGGGCTGAGCGAGGGTTTTTGGGAAGGGTATAGGTGGGAATAAAATGTCTGTCTCCATAAAGCTTCCTCCCTCAAGCTTAGAGATTAAGTCACCATCTATTTGATTAAGCCACTACCAAACACCCTTAGACAGCTGAGTGAATAAGCTGAAGCCTTCATTAAGCTCCTTAAGCCGCTACCAAACAGGCTCTAACTGTTATATTACCTATCTAATTGCCTGCTTGCACACACCTTGGTTTCATGCACAAGCCGGGGGTATTCATGGAAACAACCTCTTGGTCCCGGTGATCGGGTATACCCTACCCTCCTAGAACTGCTTTTGAGTGAGATATAACAGACTTGTTTGGTTTGGTTTAGTGTGGTAAAATTAATCAAAGGCATATGCTTTCTGATAAGTAATAGCAGCTGAATCTTCAGGATTATTGGGGTAGTGAAGTTAGCTTTATTAATTATGATTTGAATTTCGGAGATTTATGTAAATATCTTAGTAAGAAGCTAAATTGTGTTAATGGCAGTGCCAGTGAGGAGTATAGAAAGTATGACGGTTTAGAAGGCGAGGAGGGGGAGGGGGGTAAGGCCGAGGAGGACGTAGGATGAGCAACTAGATTGGACATGGCGGCTTTAGGTATTTCCAAGGACATGAGCTCTAATAAGAGCTCTTGGAGATGGACTAGGGTAGCTGATTAAGGGTGTGGATCTGTAGCTAGCATAGACGGGGGGAAAGGAGCTGGAGGTATAGGGTAGGGGATAGAGTTTAGTTAGTCGCTAGTTAGGTTACCAAACCCCTAAGTTAGACTATGGGTGTGTAGTTTCATTACTGTTATGTTTTTCTTGAACTTGCTTCTATTTTTATTTTTATTGCTTATTCATATATAGCTTTGTCGTAAATCATACCCCGCACCCCCTCAGAGTGGGGGATATATAGCTCGTTTTGTTTGGTAACTCTGATATGTCAAAGTCCTATGATTTTCTGATCTTTAATTAGCAGCTGATGTTCAAAATTATAGGGGTTCCTTTAATGAGTCAAAATTTTGATTTTGCAGATTTGTCCGGTTTGTGCTATGAGGGTCGGAGTAGACATGGTAGCTCATATAGCTTTACATCATGGAAACATATTTAAGATATCCTTGCTTTCAATCTGAAGTTTTCAGGTCTTAGAAGTTGAGCATTTGTTTCTATTGCTGACCATTCCTGTTATGCTGTATTTTAAGTTTTTGGTTGTGAAGTTGCTTTTGAGTCTTAAACTTTTAATGGTATTATCTTATCATTGAACTCCACCAACATCAAAGCAACATCATCCCAAATTCGAGGGATGCTAAAGGTCACCACAAATTGTAAATATATTTATATTGGGTAGTAGCAATCTGCATGAATTCCTTAACCAATACTTACATGCAACAGAAGAGGAAATCTTGCAGAGGTGGTTCAATATCGATGCTCTCGTTGTTGAGGAGGGAACTTAGAGAAGGAAATTTGCAGTCCAATTCTGGAGGTTCCTCCTATATAGTTTCGTCAGCCAATGCAGCACCTGATCCATTGTTGTCATCATTTATTTCACCAATGGGTGATGATCTTGTGATCAATTCATCCAAGTCCTTAGTAGAACCAACCGTTGTCAAGAAAAGTACAATCAAGAATCTTCCCCACAGGTATTATACTGTATACCTTTTTTAGACTGATACAGAAAAGTGCATGTCTTATGGATTCCGTGGCTGCTAATACTCTATAATTGCTTACAACTACTCTATAAGCTGTTGTTCCAAACCAACAAATGTTAGATTGGATTTTGAGAAAGAAAACAAAATATATGATCTAAAACGTGGATGTTCATCATAAACTCCTTTTTCTTTCTTCAATGGTAAACTTATTTATGGACTTTTGACCTATGAACTACTTGTGCCATAAGGGTCCATTATGATTTGTAATGCTTTTATGCCTCCCCAGACGTTTCACGTAAAACAAGATAACTGGTTCTTCGTCGTCTTCTTTTTATAGCTGGTGTGTTCCTTAGAACCAGAAGCACCATTATCTGAGTTCATTATCGACAAGATAATAACATCTAGCGGGGTGTAGTACTGAATGGCTTGTATCCAAACTGGTCCCTTTTTATGAGGCTTGTATTTAGCGGTTCGTACATCATGTTCTACTTTGAATTGAAGTTCATGATATTAACTTCTTAAAAGTACAATGATTTGAACAATTTAGCACATTTTTCAAAGAAAACTTGAACAGGTAGGTTCAGTTGAATGTCTCGTCAATGAACCCGATGGTTAAAAAAGTCTGTAGGGTGTAGACGTCTAAATTTTTGGAGGATTGACAAGAGAAAATCTACCAATCTGCATAATCTTGGTACTTTTAACTGTTGAAAATTGTGAAAATTTACACTCCTAAAACTATAAAAATGTTATATAAGCATGTTCATTATTATTCTGTTAGGCATGGTACTCTTTTTGATTATAGTCCCGTTAGATGTTTGATGTATTTTCTCAAAACAAAATATGTAGCAGTAATCTGATCAATGTCAATTTGTTTGTAATGGATGATCATTTAATTGGGGGTATTTGTCCTAATCCAATCTTAGTAGCATATGACTTATAGTGATTGATGGTGGACTCATTGTTTCACTGGATCCCTCTTGTATCAATTGTTAATTCACTACAAATAAATTGAGTTTATAGGATGCGGAAAGTGTTTACGTGTCTTGATAGAGTGCTTTATAGGACTTAAGTTTATAGGATTAAAAAATAAAGTGTCATATCTAAAAGTGTTGCAATAAGTTTATAGAACACTTTTAGCCGTTGTAACAAGTTTTTTAGGACCTTTTAAAGTATTAATTATTTTATCAGACACTATTTGAAAAAAGGTCTTATAAACACAAATGTCCTACAAAAATATGGGTTTATAGGACACTTCCTAAAAGTGTCCTATAAAATATAGCTAACACGACACTTTTTTTTAAAGAAGTCCTAAAATACATGTTACGACGCCAAAAACATTTTATAAACTTATTGTAACACTTTTAGATAGGACATGTTATTGTTGAATGCTTAGGCATCCTATAAACCCAATTTTCTTGTAGTGATTCTTAAACAATCAAAATTGGATTGGGATATGCATACTGAATAAAAATAAAATGGAGTGTGGAAGCATCTTATTCTTTTATTGGTTTGAGGGAGACTGGGATAGTTTTTTCTAGCCGCCATCTTATTCTTTTGGGGAGTGTATCGCGTAAATGGAGGGAGCATATCAAGCTTTATAGAAGCTCGAAGCCTTTTTCTACAGGATTTTGTAATCACTTGCCATTTATCAGGGAGAGTTTTAGAAGGAAGAATATCTCACTTCTGTATTCCAACATCAAAATGCATGACTAACTTTAGAAGGATTTAGAAAGAAAATATTTTTGTACATCGATTCCTGTTGCCACACATGACATGGACTAGTAAATTCAAACATAAAAGTTGGTAGAAGAAGGGTTGTACTTCATAGTTGGATGCTAAATTGTGAAAGCCAGAAAGGTGTATGAGCAAAGCTATCACCTTAATTTGGTTAGAAGGAAATGTAGGGCCATTAAACAACTTCATAAAGTGTATACCGAGGTCGTGAATGAAGTTGTTTGTGTCTGACTCCTGTTTTAGTAAGTTGGAGGAGCATGTGATTACCTAAAAGGAATTGGGAGGGGGGGGGGGACACAAATTGATTACCTCGTCATGCATGGCCGAGACTACAAAGCTTGGGGGAGGCATGTTCTTCACAACATTGATTGTTGGTAATGGAATTATAAGCAAGGAAAGGTGTGTAGAGTGAGCGAGAGAGGCTAGACCAAGGATCTTGTGGGAAACTGTGAAAGGGACAATAACTGAGGTTTTCAGGGAGAAGGTCATCTTGGAGGCGAGTAAAGGACAAGCGGAGGACGCCAAGCAAATGGAGTAGAGTCACTAGGATTGTTGTCACGGAGGTCTAGGGACCACAAGAAGTCTTGGTGGTGGAACATACATACAAGTGAAGGTTAAGATAAAAAAATGCATTTTAGGAGTTGATGACAACGGGAGGATGAGGAAAATAGTAGGGTAAAGGAATTGTACAAGGAGGCAAAGCAAGAAAAGCATAGGCTAAGGCATATGAGGAGATGTACATGAGGTTAGATACTAGAGAAGGAGAGATTGGAATATAAAGGCTGGCAAAAGCTAGGAGCAGAGGCGTCAAGACTAAGCATAAGGTGTATTTAGGGTGTGAATGAGCTAGTCTTAGTAGAGGATGGAGACATAGGGAGAGATGATGTAGTTATTTTCGCCATCCATCTGACGACACAAGGGAAAAAGAGAGAGGGAGGCAGCGGGAGTTGCTACTTTTCTCAGTGAATTAGCATAGGAAACAATGCTTAGAGTCTAAAACATTGCAATTTTCTTGGGGAACAGGGTATAATTCAACGTTGGCGGCAGAAAGTACCTCAAAAGGATTTAGACAAAGGGGGAGGTCGAGGATGACGTAATGCATTCCATTAAAGGTAGGTGGCTAAAGTGGAGAGCTGCCACTAGGGTGCTATGTAAGGTCATACAAGGCAACCATCAGACCAACTATGTTGGATGGGTCAAAGTGTTGGGTGACAAGGAAGGCCCATGAGAAAAGTTGGAAGTTGCTAAAATGAGAATGCTTAGATGGATGGACCTATGGTCGGACCATGTTAGATAGGACACCAAACAAGGTTTTTCGGGAGAGTTGGGAGTTAGGTCTATCACAGATAAATTGAGAGATAACATATGTCAGTGGTTTGGACATATTCACATGAGAATGATATCAACATTGGTAAGGAGTGTAAAAGGTGTAGGGAGCAAGGATGGACGTGGTGGCCTTAAACATTTATGAGATAAGAGTTTCCGGAGACACGTGACTAGGATAGCAAAATAGGTGTAAGGACTTGTAGCTAGCGTGGATGAGATGTGTGTTTTTCCTTAGATGTTTCTCCGTACCTACTCTTTCTTTCTTTTTCAAACTACTTGAGGATAGATAGGTTACAGGACGGGCTAATGCCATGAAAAACAATACTCTCCTTTTGTCCCATATTAATGGTAACATTTCCTTATTTGGCCAATTTCCAAGCCAAAACTACTCCTTGTTATTTTTACAAATTACTGATAATATTGACTTATGATACTCAAGATTCTCTTTATTTGTCATTATTCTATGGTATTTTATGATAGTCATTTACCATATAGAGTAAATTATAGATTTTGTCCCATGCAAATTGTGGATCAGATCCCCCCAATGAAATATTTACAAGTATGGTTATTGTGGTTTTAATTTTGTTATGGATTAGGTCCCTTTGTCCTAACTCAGTTAAAAGAGTTAAGTAAGGGATAATTTGGTCATTTTACTAGTTTCGGTAATATCTTTTTGTTGTACAAGCATTTAATAATAAAAATAACAAAAAACACATTTCCAGTCTCCGGCTAGCCTCCCTTTTCTGATAATCTTCCCCGATCACTACACCATCTCTGGTTAGTCTTTCTTTTCCGGTCATCTTCTCTKGTCACTATACCATGTCCGGTCACACACACCAAATCCGCATCCTAATCACAAAAAATAAACCTAAATCAACACAAATCCAAACTCTAATAAACAAAACTCAACTTTAATCCACCCAAATCCAAACCTTAACACCAAAATGAAAAAGAGATCAAGAAAAAACCTAACAAATCTTTGAACCTGATAAAAGAATAATAAGTTCCAAGGGTTTTTTCCCTTCAAATTATATCCCTTATGTTAGAATTGAGTAATTTTTTAACATATAGTTTTACATTGTCATGTAACTTATCTGCTCAACTAGTTTGCGAAACATAGCTTAAGGATTTAGGTAGGTTGTACCTTGTAATCACACAACCAAAAGGGTTTTGTGTATTGATTTCATATGTAACTTAATTGCAATCAGTATATATATATATAGAGATACTAATTAGATAGGAGTACCCTTTACATTATACTAATTACACTTAAGTAGATTCAATCTAATCCCCCCCCCCACAAGTTAAGGACGAGTAACGACCTGTAGCTTGGATCGTAAGAATATAAATCTAGGAGTCGGCAACGACTTCGTGAAAATATTAGCAATATGCTCTTTTGTGGAAATGAATTGTACACGAAGGTCTCCTTGAGCAACCTTTTCTCTGACAAAATGAAAATCAACTTCCACATGTTCTGTTCATGCATGAAAGACCAGGTTGGTTGATAGATTGGTTGCACCTAGATTGTCACACCACAAGATAGGAGCTGATGGGGAATGAACGCCAAGTTCACGAAGGAGAGCTTGAAGCCAGGTAAGTTTAGCTATAGTATCAGCCAGAGCTTTGTATTCCGACTCAGTAGAGGATCGAGAAACAATGCGTTGTTTGCCAGCGGTCCAAGATACAAGTTATAACCTAAATAGATGGCAAATCCCCCCGTGGACCGACGATCATCTAGACACCCGACCCAATCAACATCAGAGAAGGCTTGGAGAGACTGATCAGCACCAGAGAAGGCTTTGAGAGATAAAGTAGATGCCTGACGAATGAGTAAGCCACAGTCAACGGTGCCCCAAAGATGGCGTAGAATCCGTTTGACCGAATACTAATGTGATTCAGTATGGGCATGCATGAATTAACACACTTTATTA